GACGGAAGTCAGCGCGGCAGTAAATCCACTCGATTCACTTCAATTTCGCATGGGCAAATCGAGGGGTCGCATCGTCAATTTCGCATACATAAATCGCAAATCCGGACCTTGTACCATCGGATTCAGGCAGCATGCAGCGAGTACTGACGCCGTCGAAATCACTCACTGGGTAGACTTTTGCATCAAGCTCGTCCAACTGGCTTTGAGGTACGCAAACGAAGACGGGAAGTGTAAAGTCAGTGATTGGGACAACAGGATCGATATTGAGGATTCGTTTGAGGAAATGGGTTTATGTGGTGAGAGGAGAGACTACTATCGCGGCAAGATGGAGGAGTATAGGGTGGGTGATACGGAGCCGATACCTTATTGGCAGGAGGAGGAGGTGTATGTGTGTGAAGAGGAAGACGAGATGGTGGATTCTGCTGGTGAGGATTGTTTTAGTTGACCAAGGGTTGAATGTTGTACATATGCAGAGGCTGCTTTCGTCATTGAGCGTGCTTGGACTGGATCCGGAGCCATGGGCACGGAAACAGACCATGATGATTTGCCTCGCGAGAAGAACGACCCCGTGTCTGTAGGTTCGGAGTGTTGGAGGTCGTTTTTTCGCCAGATACCCAAATCACAAAATCCTATTCCTTCAGGGGCAAACCGAGAAACAAATTCTCGGCTCTCACATACACCATTTATTCTCATCTTTGCATGGCACTTGTGATTTTTCTAATGTGAAATGCAAGACTATCAATGATTCCATACGCAGCTAAGCGATTTTCATAACTTTACTTCCATTGACTGCTACCCCATCCTTAGAAAACGTCGATATTTTCCCGTTAGACATAATTTTATTCCCATTGACGTCTTTCGACTCTTTCCCATTCGGTATACCTTTACTTGCACTGACCTCTTTCCCAACAGGCATAACTTCACTTCCATTAGCCCTTTTCCCATCGTCAGGAAACCTCTTTCTCACAGCGGCAATCATCTTCCAAAACCAATAGACATTCAGTAAGCTCAAAGCCGTGTTCGCGGCTACATAGAATAACGCCAGCCACGCAGGTAAAGTTCTGCAGCCGACAGGTATTTGCATTCCAAGCGTCTGCTTAACAGCACCCAAACACTTTTCACTAAATGGATCTGTGTTATGCCATGCCCTCCATACATCGTTGTATATGAGGGCAGATTGATATGATCCCCAAACTAGTCTTGAACCACCAAAGGATAGGAGGAGGAGTATGCCGTTATACAGTTGTGCTTTCGATCCTGTCTTGCCAAATTTATCCAGGAACCAGTGTATGTTTAGGAAAGGTGTCGAGAGTTCATACAGAACAAAATTGAGGCCGTAATAATTGGCGAATGGTCTCTATCAACCACATCAGTCTCAGCACATCTCCCTTCTTGAAAATAGGAAAGGACGGGTGAATACTCACAAAACCAATACAAGTAACCCCCAAAGCACTCACAGCATGAATCAAAGAACTCAAACCCATAACATCAAGATGCAAACTACTAACAACAACATCCCACAAAAAATAACCGGCAGCAAAACCCTGAACCATCCCAGCAGCACCATTATACCCCCACAGCCTCTCTTTCCAATCCCTATTCTGCACCTTCCTCTGCGGATCCGTCCGTATAACCCAGAGAGCTACCGAATTGATAAAAAGAGCCTGCCACATGCTCACCATATGGGCATCCCAATTTAATTGGTTTCGCCTGTTGAGTCCGCCGTAGCGGGATGGTACAAGCCATCGTGAGCATATCGGCGATGCTACTCGGAATATGAATTCGTATAATAAGGCTGCGAAGAGTATCTCGTGGATATGGAGGTGTAGAGTTGTTAGGCCAATTTTCTCGGAGAAGGGGCGTATACTATTGGAGAGGATAGCGGGCCCTACGGTAAATGAGGTTGTTAACCAAGTATTACATCACAAATACACATGCCGCATAACATAGGGGTCCATCGTCCATACCTTTAGGAAAGGGGTCAAGCATTATGAGCTTGATCTGCGGCGGCTGAGAAGCACGTTGGGTATTAGCATTTCTCGTTTTGTCCTATCAGCTGAATGAGAGGTCGTGATGTCACCTCCGGAAAAGGGACGCCACTTACCAAGTCGGTGACCTCCATTTCGATTGAGGCTGAGGGGACCGGGAGCAGTACAAAATTTATACAGTCATTTATTGTATGTCCGTATGCGTACAGGATTTCAACTTTCGAAAAGAGCTTCCATGGAAGTAATGAGGGGATCCTCACATGATGGCTGTTTCATGCAAAAAATTGTTGCTGACTCGCAGGCTCACTCCAGCTGGTCAAGGGCATGAGTTTGGTATTCACCTTGCATACAGAGAATCAAATCCACAGGGCCAGCATAAGTTATAATGAATCAAATGAGTTACAAGATGTATGAACCAAAAGTTGGTGTTGTTAGGCTGAGAGAGTACGCGATATACTATTAGGGGAAAACTGACCCCCTTAAAGTCCCTTTCCACTTTCGAACTTGAGCATACAAGGGTTTATGCTGAGCAGTGACTAAGTAACCTGTAGCTAAATTCTAAGTAGCTGAATATTTAGATAGAAGGTGAGGATTAAATAGTTTATAGTTGGCTAATATTCTCTAAAAAAGACATAAGTTTAATAACCTAAAACTAGAGCCGTTTCCTTCAAAGAGTATCTAGTAATAGAAACGATCTACCTATTTCACAAGATCTAGACAGAATTAGCTACAAGATACCTTTTTATTAGAGGTCGATATAGGAAGTACGTTGGCCCTAATAATATAGTATCTTAGAAGTATATACCTAGATTACGACCACATTGCTCTTCAGAGCTTAGTAAGGGAGTGTGATATAGCAAGGTGAGTGCGAGCGGGCGACCAGACCATAAGCTTAATGTTTTAAAAGTATTGTTTCGTGCTTACAGCGATGTATGCATGGTAGTAGGTACAATAAAGTTCTGTATTCAATTATGGAATCGAAATCGAAATCGAGTGGCCGCACATTACAGAATGTAGCAGATATACAATCCCGTTGAGAAGGTTGCATCCAATTTCAATCAACCACTTGACACTCGATCGCTAGTCCATGGGCAATCTCGTTCTGCATCTGGACAATCCAAAGGTCGCCCATGTCAGTACCCTGAAATGAATTACGGGGTATTTGGTATACCAACTTAACTCCACATTTAAGGGAGATATCATCCTCCGAGAAGTGAATAGTGACGGGATCTGTGTGGTTCTTTATTTCTCTGTAAAGAGAAACCCCTCCACTGAGTTGAAGGCTAGGCCGATCGGGTGACAAGAATATGCTAAATTTGCCCTTTTGAGTTACTTGTACAGAATGGCCATTCCAAAACCGCTTGTGTGAATAACCGTAACGTTTGGCAATGTTGATGCGGTTTTTCTTCTCAGTTTCAACAGATTTTCCTGGTTTGTTGTAACTTGAATGTATTGCCTTACCAAGCTGGTCAATTATTCTGCCGGCCAAAGAACGTCCGCTCGCGAGGACGGCCTCTGGATCTTCACCAAGATATTTGCGGGCCCAGGTTAAAAAACAACTGTCATATTGTTCGAGCGTGAGCATTTGGTTGAGCTTTTTTTCATTCCCACGATAGCCATAGAGCTCCTTGAGTGGTGCTGCAACTGGGACGCCCACAGGAATCTGGATATGGGCCGCCGCGAATGAATTTGGTGTAAAGTCCCTGTGATGAATCCATAAGAGAAAGTTGAACGCGACATCTTGAACTATAGAGTTGCAAGTACTTGTAGAACGCTGGAAAAAGCTTGCTGCTGGATGAGGGACACAGGTAGTGATACGTTTCAAACGAGTGTGTCGAAAGTCAAGGTCAAACTCTAGCGTTGAAACTGTTGAAAGTGAAAGCGACAAGCGCCGAGCCTGCGTTGACAATGTCTTGCGGTAAGACACCTTTGGACATGACCCTGCAACTACCAGCCACGGAAGAGGCAGGTCCTCCAGTAGCTCTGCTGACAACGCATCATGAAGCGCACGATGTGTCACTGTCCAGGTATTGGTTGGACAGGGCACCTTTCCAGGTCTTCGTGCCGAAGTTTCTGCACGCCAATGCCAATTCGAAGCCATATAGGAACTCAGGATTTAAGCCTTTGGCGGCTAAAAATTGAACACTTGGGCTTTCGTGGTCCCAAAACTCTCCTATCCGCCCTTTCTTAGTCTGGCAGTGCATAATAAGACCAATGTCAGCGTCCTCAGGCTCGGACGGCGTGCCCAGTCTTTCGCCAGATTCGTCTGGTTCTTCCTTTTCCGCGGTGTAAAATTTCTCAAGCTTTTGCTGGGTAAGATGGTGAAGGGCGAGACGGTCAGACTGAAATGTTTGCTGAAAGAATTGTATGAGTGCTTGGATCTCATTATTGGTAAGGGTGTTTGCCGCCTCTGCTGCAAACTGTTGAGTAATGTTTGGTGGTAGAAACTCGTAACTCGGAGGGAGAGATTTCCATGGTCTTTTAGCATTGGACAAAGAGTCTCGAAAAGCTTCATTGGTAGTGAAAGTATTCTTGTGAAGATTCCGGGCTGTTTTGTCAACACATGCCTTCAACCAGAATCATATCCATGTTCTACCATTTCTGTCTCGCAATAGCAACAGAGCTTGTAATATAATTCCAGTTTCCATTTCGTCTGCTATGTGAGTATGCGGGTAAAGTTGGGAATTCGAGATATATACTTAAGGTGGTTTGCTCTAAAATCACCCGACTGCAAAACGACTGCAAACGCAGCTGACAAAATCAGGCTAGCTGGGCATCAACACCCGACTACATACGCTAAACCAGTTCACATTTACTACTCTACTACATATCCGAAAGTATTAATTTGAAACTGTGAAAAATTGTCGTTTGGATAGAGTACAGTTGAAATTGATCAGGAAATATCTAAACAGAAGCAGATGGTACATCTGCTACAATCAAAATCAATTTTAAAATTTGGCTTACGTGTTCTATCGTAGAAGTAGAAACAGCAGGCTTGGAAGCAAAAACAAATGCCCCCTATCTGATTCGAACAGATGACTTCGACATGACCAAGTACTAGTGTCGCACTCTACCACTACAGTTTTAATTAGTCACACTTCATATGGATGTTCGCTAGAATACACTCACACTGAGTTAAAGGGGCTTTTTGATGAAGTTTTGGAGTGCATTCATTTATATTCTTTTCTCGCTCGAAAAAATAGCCCATTTCCGACACCTCAAGCCATTTCCAACATTCATGTTTATTGTTGCCCACAACGATTCAATTATTTTTGTACTGAGGTGATTCACTCTTCTGACGCACACGGATAGATCTTATAAGTTTTGTGTTTATTTACCAGTCGGTGGTTGGATATTACTCTCTGTATTGCTCTTGGATGGGGTGCCAAAATCGGCTATTTTTAGTCACACGAAAAGCCAAGGCGCCCGTTTTCAGTGATGATTTCTTGTGCAGCAGCAGTTGCAGCCTCGAAAATACTACGAGAATCAGGGCCCAATCCGGGGTCTAGATGGATGTGCCCCGGCTCTTGAGTGTTAAAAAAAGTGAGCGATAATGGCTCTTCAGCTCCAACGTGCACAACGACGACCACAACTGATCCAATACTCCTAAAACTTTGTAGGTTGTTAGTCCGGCTCAGCCTTACAAGGCTAGAAACCCATAGAACTATTCATACCTAAATATTCTTTGTTAAAGTGGGTAATTTTGGTCTTGCGCACGAGCCAATATCGCTCGCTTTTTTTGACACTCAAGAGCCCCGGGCAAGGAGGGGAGACTACTTTCTCGTCTATAAGATAGAACGATATAGTGTCCCCACGAATCTATAATCCTTTTTCGATAATATCTTGGAACATGGTTGGGTTTTTTAACGGAGTGTGAATAGAGGCTTGAGTTAAAACGAGCACCCTCAGGCGTGACGGTGCAATATCGAGTCCGGGGGGGAGCTGAAATCTGAGCTAGGCACCGTTTCAATTAGGTTACAGACTGAGGATACAGCACTAATCAAAAGAGCAAATGGGATGGAGTCAGTTAACCGATGCTATAGTTCTACGCTTACAACAAATTCCGACCGATTTGACACAGTTTCAAAAATTTCAATATTGGATAACAAGCATTTATACCTTCGGAGCAACACCTCCTCCAACAGTTTTGGGTTCGAGACCACCATCTGAAGAGCTGTCCCTGTGCATCTTATCACGACCCTCCAGGATATTGCCTTCGCGCCCAAGCATAGCGTGTTGCACATTGACCTAGTAATCGCTTCAGCATATCGAGGATGTTTAGCTGGAGGCGGACGACTCACCTTAGGGCCTTTGAACCATTTACGAGCTGATACGAACCACCAAATCATGACCAAGAACATGGGTCCACCGTACACAAGTATAGTCCAATTCATACCCTCCGCGTCCAGATTTGCGCCCCTAACACTAGGGAAATTGAGGATTGGAATCATAAGGGCGACGAAACATGAAGCGACGAAACCAATTGGGATACTGAATTTGCCCAAATTCCATGGTCCTGGTCGGAATCGATTTCCAACAAAGAAGACTCTAATGAAGATGGGTGTGCAGAATGCGACTTCTGCAGCGATGGCTCCCACGGAGAACAGCGCACCAACGGAAATAGATCCTCCAAATATGAGGAGAAGCATGAGTATTCCAATGATAGTATTGACCCACACAGCATTCACAGGAGTTTGAGTCATCCTATTAACCTTCTTCCACACATTGGAGAATGGAAAGCAGTCATCACGAGCGTACGCGAAGGTGACTCGAGAAGCAGCAATCATACATCCTTGCCCCATAAAGAATCCAGCGATAATAGTAATGGCAAGGATAGCATTTGTGATGTTTTTGGGCATACATTGGATGAGGTATGCGGCAAATGGCTGCCCCAAGTCCGAATCGATCACTCCCGGAATGTCGATGACGGTGTAAGCAACGACTATCTGCAAAAACCAACCAAAAATACCGCCCATTGCCGATGTCATGACGATAGCCCGTGGGGCGGCAATGCTGGCGTTTGAGCACTCCTCGGCCAAATGAAAGGGTGCGTCGTACCCACTCATAGTCCATAGTACAGCAACAAAAGACATGAGAACGGCGATTCCATCAGGCCAATCCGTGCCATTCTCGATGGTACCCCAGACTTCACTTGAAGGAGTAAATCGTGACAGGCCCTGGCTCGGCCTATTGGTCCCTGCTGGAATCAAAATGATGACAACAACAAGACTGATCATATTGAACGTCGAACCAAAGGAGTTCGTCTTCGCAAGCCATCGTGTTGGCAACGATGACATGACACCGTGAATGAGCATGAGAAAAGTCGAAAGGAGAAATGTCTGGTAGTTTGTCGGGACATATTCAGGATTGTTAATCGAAGCTGCGGCGAGTATCATAGCAGCTGTAGCATAATCGACAGAGGGTGCACCAGTGATTTGTACAAGCCAATTGGACCATCCGGTAATCCAGGCAGCGAGTGGTCCCCATCCTGGAGGTGCGAGGACTGCGGCAGCATAGTACAGTCCTCCTGATGTTGGCATGGAAGAGCAGAGTTCAGCCATGCTCATAGCAACGCACTGTACACCTATCATGGCCAAAATCCATCCCCATGTCATGCCTGACAAATATGATTAGCATGCATATAAAAGTAATGAGAATCAGAAAGTCGTACCTCCTGTTCCAGCATAACCCATTCCATAGTATAAAGTACTAGCGAAAGATGGTAACAGTCCCAAAACCGCAAACGACACGCAAAACGTGGTGAATAAATTGAACTCTCTCTTAAACTCGGGCTTATATCCAAGAGCCGCGAGCGTCTCCTCATCTTCATTGTACTCCCGCTCAGGATCAAATGGGACATCACCTCCCGGCAGAACCGAAGTAACTTGTTTATCCACAACGCTCTTTCTACGCGCACCTCCAGATGTGACGCTCAGATTGCGTTCAGCCATGGTGTTTTTGTGCTACACGATCCGATGTGGTCATCAAGTAGTAGAAATGACAAAAGCACAGAAGAACCCAAACGAAATGAAACAATGTGACGAGAGGATGTACAAAGACAGGATAAAAAGATTATGAAGATTGAAGAAAGCAGAGGGAGTGTCGTTCGAACCCGAAGCTAATGAAAGCGTACAGAACGTCCTGCAGAGATAAGAGGTAGGCTAGAATAATCGCCAACGCCTCTGCATGGAGTTAGTTCTCCTAGCTTGGCCATTTAAAACGATACAGCCTAACAGCTGAATACGACGGCCATTTGGTGGAGCGTTCCTAGAAGTGAGCGGCAGAGGGGTCTCCAGACACCAGCAACCTCTCGCGCTCGTACAGCAGTAATACAGGGTAAAAAAAGCCTGTTATTAGTTAGCCAACACCCACAAAATCATCGGCGTCCTTTCCGAAAAGCGGAAAGTCCATGCAGAAGATCCACAGTCCACCAGTTAGAATTTTCCAAGCCTCGCCCATCTTTGATGTGAAGCGGGGAAAAGAGAAGGGCAAAAACGCCACTGATGAATCCGACCCCCCAATTCGCGACACCTTATCACTGGATTGCAAGGTCGGCCTCCGCCTAGCCTAGCCTAGCCCTACTCGCCGGACTCACGTCCCACGCGTGAGGGTAATTTTTGTGACTATGTGGTGATAAGAGTATAAGAACAAAATCTCTCACAGCCTGAAGCACGATCCCGGCATTGGTCGCGCGCGAATATCATTCGAAAAGTTGCTTCAAAAAAGCGCCATAGGCTCAAATTCTCAGTTCACGTACTATTCACCACAAAAGTAACATAAGGAACACTTTCCCATCCCAACTCCCCCCATACCCATTCCATAACCAGCAAAAAAAGGGAGCAAAGCAACTTCTTGACCAAACCCAATGATTCCGAAGCGACCCCCAACAAGGAGGAACAACGGGGAGCAATCGAATCAGAGGAGAAAAGTAGTACAATTTCCTTCTTGAAGCACTATCCGCCGTACTGGTTACGCCCTCCCAACCTTTTCGAGTAATCCAAAATCATCATCGGTAAAAGAAAGAACAAAAGGCGATTGGTATTGAACAGGGTGTAGTGGCAATGCCACACGTAAATGACGCCAGGGCGCCAAAAAAGAAGACAAAGGGAATTAGAAGTGGACAGCACTGTTTTTCAATACAGGAAGTCCCCCAAAACAAGAAAGTCGAAGCAGAAGAACAAAATGGCAAGCAGGCTTATTCGCTATGATCGAAGGGGATTGACAGAGGATGAAATCAAAAAGAATCCCACTTTTTTGCCCTTTCCAAATCAAACGTAAACGCTGTGCATCAGGAAGAGAAATCGAAAGGGAGTTTTGGTTGCGCGTACCTATTGCGCGAGTGTGAGGGGAATAAAATGGAACTTGTAGATGATCCTGTTTCGCATCGTGAAATGACAAGAATGCATCTATTGCCTTTTCACATATTAAGCGTGCACCGCACGGGAAGGATCTGTCGCTGATACAATTGACGCCGCGTTCAGCGGAGTGGCACCGAGCAGATTAGGACTTTCAAGGAAGAGTAGTGAGGCCAAATTTGAGCCAAGTGTAAATTGTTGCGTGTAGACGGGCGAAGAGGGTTTATCTACCCTGCTCCTGTGATACCGAGAGCTCCAGGTTGTTGCATTCCAGATGACCTGAAATTGGTGTGTCGATTCGGAGAGCCCGCCTCTTGTTGTGACCCTGGAAATACGGTAGGAGGAGTATGCATGGGAGTCCCAGAAGCTCCATATGATGGGTTGCCAGGGCCAACATGGCGAACGGAGCTCTCATTCTGCCATGCTTGCGGGTCTTGTGCGATGGTCTGTACTGTGGTTGAGCGGCCTTGTCTCGAACCTGGATGTCGAGCTCCAGGAGTGGGTACGGTAGCCTGAGGAACTCTGCCGATGTCGCCCCAACGCTTCAGAATCTCCTTCGTTGTCAGCTCTGCGTTGCCTTCGAAGAGAGTGGTATCGTTGAGTATGGATAACAAGTCCTCGGGTACCTATAACAAGTTAGATTTGTCCCAACGGGAGTTACACACTGATGACGTACTTCGCACATGCTTTCATTGCATGAAATCAAGCAAGCGACAGTCTCGATCGCCAAGAAACTCTG